TATATATATATATATATATATATATATTGATTTTGACTTCATTGTTAGTGAGTTAAGCACTAGTTCCTCTTTTTAGTTCTTGATGGATTAGAATCCTTATGCATCCTATTTGAGGTATTTGTGACATATTCACTTGGTTTATTGCATACTCTCTCAAGTATGGTCCCTTATTTTTATTTCTCACTTATTCCATCTTTTATTAGTTTAATCTTCTTATTCACTTTGTTTTTCTACCGTTGATATTATATATATATATATGGACTTTTAGATAATCGAAAATTGATACTATCAAGTATCCTCTCAATGTTCTCAAATGCCTAGACTCCCATGGTAACCAAAGACAGCAAAGGAGTCAATAAAGAGAATAGAGATGATTTATCTTTGGATAATTTAAGGCACCTAAGTATGTATGGTTCATACACATTTGGCACCCTCGGTCACCTCTACACATTGAACTTATGTGATTCATACCTATTCGACATCCTAGGGCACTTATACACTTGTTGAAAGTATAATCAAAGTCCCACATCATTTAGAAAGGACGAGAACTATAGATTTATAAAGTACACATATTCTATTAGAATGAGGCATTTTGAGAGATAACCAAAAGTAAAACTACGAGAACTTAAACCTAATTAAAGAAGACAATATCATACCAATTTGATTTTTGGCAATAGTGAAATATCGTCAAAAAGTTATAGCATATAATATGATATTAATTAGATCATAATCAATATAAAAAGAATAATTAATCAATGTGTAATTAGATTGAATGAAATGAAATGATGTAGGTTATTATTTTATTATACAAATTTCTTTAAAAAATAAAATCAATAAAACGTAATTGGTAGGTTTGGATATTTAAAGAATCCTCTAGAGAAACATCGGTTACTATTAGACTAAGGTTGTATTGACAAAATTCTACTCGTTGATTTTCGTCTATTCAATTTCTTTACATCTTATTTTCATTAAAATATTGTCAATATTATGTAAAAGTATTCTTCTAACCAACAAGTTGATCATTAGATTGAGTAGTATTGGCCTCGATTTTCTTAAGTAAACTTTTGAATTCAAGTATTGTGTATAGAAAACACTACAAGAAAATTGTAAAATAGCGACCGAAATTAGCGATTGAAATTTATCAGTCATTATTTAGCGACTGATTCTGAATAATCAAATAGCGACTGGTTTAGTGACCAAAATAAGTCATCGCTAGAAAATCGATCGCTATTTTAGTCGCTGCTTGATTGTGTTTCATGAACACAAAGGTTGCGACAGAACAGCGACCAACTAGCTACAAAATTGTAAAAAATGTTGCAACCGAATTAAATTCGGTCGTTAAATAAGAAATTTTGATTTTTTTTGGCGACGGAATTGAATTCGGTTGCTAAATATTAGTTAAAATTAGTGACGAATTTAAATTTGGTCGTTAAATATTAGTTAAAATTAGCGACAAAATTGAATTCGTTCGCTAAATATTAGTTAAAATTAGTGACGAAATTCTATTCGGTCACTAAATAAAACTTAAAAATATATATAAATTGCTTAAAAGTGATGATAATATTGTTATTGAGTATCAATCCCATTTTTTTTTTGTAAGAGCAAGACATTAATTTATAATAAAAAAATATTTATATGCACTCCTACATAATTAATACCAATAGTTATTTATGTGAAAAAATATTTAGAGGTTTTTTTACCATTGGATTTTTTAGGCATTTTTTTAATTAGAGTATATGAATTTTTTAAATTGCTTATTTATTTCGATCCATATTTATAATATATATTTCTAACTTATGATAACTTTATTTTTAAATAAATTTTTACATTTAAATTTTATTGATAGAAGAGATGTGATATCTTGAGGAAAAAAAATTATAACATTCCTCTCTCTTTCTAATAGGAAAAGTATGTTAAGTCTCATTTATACATATGTTTAGATAGGAATTGTTGAACAATTCCACTCACCTCATGCACTCTTGCAATATAATTGTTCTCTTTTTGATTCAATTTTTGAGCAGATATAGCTAACCCAAAACTCATCTAACAATACCATGATTCAATTGTTCTCTTGAAGACCCATTGGATTGGAAATTAAAAGAGCAAAGGAGCAGGAGAAGTAATATCACGTCGGGTACAAGAGTGTCCGCGCCGAGCTTAATCAAGATAGAGAGCAACACACTCTGTAACTCAGCACTGAGTCGGGCGCAAGAGTATCCGCACCGGGCATGTTTCGAGACAGAGAGTAATTACCCTTCTGGAAGACCATGCGTCAGGCGCGAGGTATAATGCGCCAGGCGTGTGAACCCTATCCTGACTTGACTAGTTCGTATTTGAGCAAAGCTTCGAGGCTTTTCCGCCTCATTCACACATTGGGCGACTTCTAGGAGATGTGGAAGGGATTCTCGGTGCTTAGGACCGTTCGTGTGTGGGTCTTTCCTTCGGTTCTTCCATCTTCTCTTTCATCCTTATTTTTATTTCACTCTCGTTATTTTGAGTGGTTTTACCCATTGTTTTATGGGGTTAGATGTAACCAACTTAACTCTTATATATGTAATCTTCACGTCATCAATGATATATATATGATGTTTCATTCATTGTTGTGTTATGTTTCTATTCTTAATGCTTTCTTTGGATTGATTCTCCTTTGCTTGATATAGAGTCCATTGGGTATTGGAAAATAACCTTTGAAACTAACTGTGAAACAAATGCCTAGTGGGAAATGTATCTAGGAATGGAGCTTGGCCCATTAGTAGTCTTAAACCCTAACCCGTAATGCAGGTGTGATTAGGTTTTGAGTAAACTTATGGGCTGACTAAGCAATAAATGTAACAAGAGAATAAAGATTCATGAGTGTGAAGTTCGTGATATTTGACCCCACACTCTTACAAAATCACAATACCATTTTTATCCCTTCCACACACACACAAAGTATATTATAGGTTTGAAATTCCAATAGTCATAACTTTTATTTGAATTGCATGACAATCTATGAAAAATTGAAATTATTCTTTGGTCACAAATAGTCAATAAATACTTATTTTACCTACTAGTCCTTGTGGATACGATTTAAATTTACTACTTGAACGGCCGGTATACTTGTCATGTTTGAGTCCGTTGATAGAATAAAAATAATTTATAACAAAGATAGAAACTAATGTCAACGGAAATCTCAACAGAGTACAAATGTATTTTCTTAACTATTAGTATTTCTTTATTGTTGTGTGATAAAATTGATTATTTTAA